CTGTTTCAAAGGGACAGTGGAGACGGCTTAGGTTAGAATCTCTGGGCAAGTCACTCCCCTTCTCTGTGCTTGAGATTCCTCAACTGTAAAAAAAAAAACCAAAACCAAAAACCAAAAACAAAAACCGGGGGGGGGGGGGGTCACAATATCCAGACACAAGGACTTGGGACAGAAACAGCTTTGTAGAGATGAAACAGGTATTAATGTTTTAAATGGTATTTATTATTGCCATTAAAGGAAGAGAGGGATACATCATGGGGCCAGGTTTCTGGCCAGGGGGACTCATGTGAGTGTCCCTTCAGACTCTGGGTCACAGGACTTTCGATCATCAGTCCACCCTCCCCCTCGCCACCTCAGCCCCCACGAGCAAATAGGAAAAGTAACACGGGTGGAGGGAATCTTCAGCTGTCTGTGCTCCTGCCTCATTCATAGAAGGCTGGGTTCTCCAAGGGGAAAGGAGAAAATCCTGGCTGGGCCTGGACTCTCGGCAAGTCTGTGTGGCCTTGGGCAAATGTCTTACCCTCTCTGGGCCACCATCTCTTTTGCAGGGAAATGAATGCAGCAAGAATGGCAACTTTTCACAGCGGCTTACTTTCATGCAGACTGGGCCCACCCAGTGTCCCCCGCACTGAGGAGCCCAGGAGGCCCCGGAGAAGGGACAGAAAAGTGATTTAGGGAAGGAGGAAAGAATCCACCATGATCCGCCTTCGGGGCCACATTCTCCACACGCCTTTCTCTGTGCATCCATATCCAGACATTTTTAAACTGGTCAAGGTCCTACTGTGCCCTTGACCCCTTTAACACTCTCTGAGACAGATCATCAGTCAGTGTTTCCCCAGATCACCAGAAATTCGTCTAAAAGCTGACTCTTCAAAAATGGTGGTGAAGTAACCCAAGTGTAGACATGCTGCTTGGAAAAACCCATTTCCTACTGTTCTGTATTTGGATGGTTTCTGTGTCTTTTTAAATTTCCAAATAGAGCAACAGCAGACACCTTCCTATAGACGGAGGACCCCTTGTCCGCACCTGAATTCCTTTTTTGTTTTTGCTTTTGGTTTTGAAGTAGGCTTCACATCCGGCACCTGAACTCACCACCCTAGGCTCAAGCCCTGAGCCTGCATCCAGAGTGGGACGCTGAGCCAATCGAGAGAACCGCTCTGGAGCCCCATGAATTCCCATTTTTTCTTTTTAAATGTTTTTTTATTTATTTGTAGGAGAGAGAGAGAGAGCGTGAGCAGGGGAGGGTCAGAGAGAGAGGGAGTCACAGACTGAAACAGGCTCCAGGCTCCGAGCTGGCAGTCAGCACAGAGCCCAACGTGGGGCTCGAACCCACAAACCGCGAGATCATGACCTAAGCGAAAGTCGGATGCTTAACCGACTAAGCCACTCAGGCGCCCCAGAATTCCCATTTTTAAAAAGGTTTTCTCCACTGTAGAAGATTCGGAGGAGCTGGAAAACAAGTCGTAAGGAGTAAGCGTCCCCCGGAACCCCCACCCCCGAGGCCCTGGGCACTGGGCTTGTTGTCAGCGCGATGGCGACAGATGCTGTTTGCATCTTCCCACAGAGCATCTGAACATAAGCACGTCCGTCGTTATTATTGCCTGACCCCTCGGGTAGTGGCCGCAGAGGCCCCCC